GATTTGTTGGTGATGAAAATTGAGACAATTCAATCAATCGACCATTTTCATCGCTCGAACTGCTTGAAGACTCTTCTTCGGAATTGTACCACGAATTTCGAGCCTCCTCCTCCTCCTCCTCCTGACTCTCACGCCTTTCGGCCGCATCGTATTCGTGTTCCCATTCCAAATCCAATGAGGAACCAGCAAATGATAAGGTCCCCTCCGTCATCGAATCACACTGCAAACGCTTGTAATCTCGTCGCTCGTTCATTTTCAACAGTGAACCAACGTCAAGACACTGCAGCTGAATGGCATCCTTTGGAAGAACCAATTTCCCATAATTTTGATTTTCAATCGATGCGACACCGCTTCGATGCGACATATTCAATCTTGTGTACGATGTTCCTTGCGATGAAGCTTGCTGTTGCCGCTGATGTCGTGCCCAAAATCGATTCAAAAATTTCGAATGGTATTTCGTTTTAAATTTTAATATGCCAAAAAGTGACGATGACGACGACGACGCCACCGGAGTTTTTTGAGTCTCTGTCGCCGTACCACAGTCCATGAAACTCTATGCGAATTGAATGAAAAAAGAAATCAGAATACATAACTATGTCAAACTTATTCAAAATTGATAAAGATTAACGACTTATTGGCAATGGTACACTTACGCTGTCTTGACCATCCGATATGGAAGTACTGGGAAATGAAAGCGAAAACAATTCAATTAAAAAGATATTTCAATTTCCATTCGTGTGAATTTTTTAATCGGTTTTTTATTTGTTATGCTCGATTAAAATATGAAATTCTTAGCGAAAACTTACAAATTCAAGCTTTCTCTGGAGAAACAACGCCCTGAGCATAGTCCCATGATGAGTTAAAGAAAGTATTAAAATGCAATTGACATGTTTATGATTACGTTTAGCGTTGCTTCATTGCTTATTATTACATTATTTACACGATATATAGGAATATATGTTTGTTTTGTTTCGTTCGTTCGTTTGAACACTATCGAAATCGCACGTAATCATCAATTCCACAAATGAAAACACAAACACAAATTCTATTGAGCAGGCAAAAGCTAAACATTAGCTAGTACAAACGATATTCTATTGCCTGCCATTGAAATGATAGGTATATGGTGACCACAATGGCAATGCCGTTAAAATCTATCTATTAAAAACTAGACGCCAACTATAACTACGAAATAGTTTTATCACGACGAAAAACCCAAATGATGTTGAAATGTGAAAAAATAATTCGGCGACACTGGACAGAAAAAGATTTGACAACTCAAACAGCTGATAAGGAAAATATTTGCTGGGAATCGAGATGGATGCGGCAGTGCGCATGTTCATTGGAACTGGAATGCAAACTCGTAGCATGCTGCAAATTGAACTGAATTTTCCATGGTTACAAAATGATAGTCTCTAAAAACAAAGTAGAATTTCATGAAAATTAGAACAAAAATCCACCAAAATCTCTCGAATTGTTTCTTGTGTTGTTCTAGTCTTGAAAGAAGAAAAAAAATTCAAAGATGGCACAAAAACAAAAGCCAAGTCGAGCCGAGTTAAAAGAATCTGTTATAAAATTCGTATCTTATGCTGGAACCAAAGTCAATGCCATCTATTGTCCGCCGTGTATTCCAATCGGTTGACTTCAACAAATCAGACTTCTCCTTGTGTTTACAGTCATTGATGTCATTGTAGTGGCACAAAAAGTGCCGTACATTTTTTCCCACCACCAACAGTCGTGCACGCACACAATCACGCCATCCACCAAAATGATTCACAGAATACTACCCATTTCTCGTACAGTATTAGCTGCTGATTGGCCACACTTGCACCCATACACTCGCACAGCCATCGTCGGCCGTAGTGAAACAAGTGCCGACTTAGAAGAAAAATGTGTATTTTTGCGCAAAACCTTTTCGAATTCAGACAGCGGCAGCAGCACACACACACGCTGGTTAAATAGAAAGAACAAACAATCGACAACGTGATTTGCGAAACCACCCCCCGATTGTGTGCTGTGCTGTGCTGTGAAACGCGAACAAGCCAAAAAGGAAAAATGCACAAGCATATTCAAGGCGTCTAACTCTTCCAACATGTAATTCCCGTATCAAAACATTGGCTCGGATTTGATGCGTTCGGTGGTTTTGTTGTTTTCGCCGTTGCTGTTGCTGTTGTTGTTGTTTACACGGCTGTTAGTTTAATGCTTTGATTGAAGCGGCAAAAAGAAATTTGAAATGCTGATTCGAATGTAAACAAATGTGCGTGCAATGCGTAAGCGGCCACAAGTTCAATGTTTCTGAAGCTCACCTTTGTTTGTGTGTTCAATGAATGCACGATTGAGAATTACGTTAAAGTTCACCGAACCTCTGTCGTTGAAAATTGAATGATTTTGATTTGAGAATTTTTAGACTCCGGACAGAAAAAATCACATTCGTTCCGATCTGTCGAAGATTGATTAACAAGACACAAATGCTGAGCGTTGTCATCATCGTTGTCGTTACGTTTTGGAAATGCGGTTGGTCGAACTCTCTAATTTCATCCGAATGTCTCGTTCCATCGATCATTTGCGACACTTGTCGTCTAGCCAAAATTAAATTTATATTATGTCCGTGTTGTGTTGCATCACCGCAAATGAACAAACGCACTCATGGTCACCCTCTCTTGTCCCCTTCATCAACCGGCAACCGTTCGGTTTTTAACGGTGATTTCGGTGTGGAAATAATTTGTTGTTGTTGTTCTTCTTCTTCTTCTTCTTTTCAGCTCAGTTTGTTGCTGTTTTTTCCCGTGTGTTTTTCGTGTGTCTGCCTTCTCTCTTGGTCTCTCTGGCCGATTCTCGGGTACAATACAGTACGCGTGTTGGTGTTGTGTCGTCACCGCTCGCGCCCTACGAAAAACTTTATCAAATTGTACTGAACGGAACTGAATGAGGAGCATCAGTGTAGCATATTTTCCCTCCGTTGTCGTGGTCGTCGCTGTCGTCGCCGTCGTCACACACATTCCAAGCGCCAGCCATATCCCATCCAATGTACACATTGTGTACACACAGGCAGAAGCATTTGCAGTCATAACCGACTACTGAACGTAGACTTTTTGGTACGGTTCTGTGTGTGGTGTGGAGTGCGCATTGTGTGTGTGCCGTTGATCTTCAACATCTTCCGCTCTATATAGAATGAATGCAATGCAATCGTATCGCTTAGTTTTGTTTTGATAGCGAAACCGTTTGGATGGAAAGCAAAGCCACTAAATGCAGTCGTTCGTTTAGCCGACCGAAAAGCACGCGTTCACAACGATACGCCGTTTATTCATCAATGAAGGTACAAAATACGATTTGCAGTCGCAGTGAACTGTTTATGTTTCGTTTTTTTTTGGTTTTGTTTTTGTTTCAATAAACATTTTTGGTTGTCAATTTTTTTTCCTCGTCGCTTCGAATGTAAATTTTGTGATTATCGGTCGTAATCGTTTGGCGATAATTAAGTGTAAATAAGTGACAAATTGGTTAATTTGCGCAGTGTGACCACATGTTCACTGAAGTTCTCGTTTACTCGCGCTCTCCCATCCAACTGTTTTGTTTGCATTTCCATTTGGATAAGTAAATGTTCATCAACAATTCAACGCATTTGAATTGTACGGCCGACTGTCTGACTGGACAAGAGTGTGAGGAAGTGAATGAGCCACTCTATCTGGCCCATTGAAATGAAGTGTTGACAAATTGTCTATTGTTGACCGTTTCGTTTGTTTAACTCGTTGATCGTTCCGTGTTTGTATATTCATAGACAACGCAACGGCTTTCCAACGGCTTGGTCAGTTCAGTACGCTGAATGGCGCAATTTTATTCGATACTAATTGGGCAATTTCGTTCATTGATTCAAAGTGACACAGACACACGATCTATTGCGACGGTTGCTTTTTTGGGTGCTTCAATATCTTTGTGGAATTATACCAATCTATCGAGAGAAAGAGAGAGAGTGTTGATAGTGAAAAGTTTACGTATTTTTTATATTATCATTTTATACACTCGATAGATTTGTATAACCATTTCCATCGGAACCATCTTTATTCTCAATGTTGTGTTGTGTTTTTTTATTAGCATTTATTTCCAGCAGATCAAGTAATTCAAATGCCAATAAAAAAAAGACAACAACAAATAAGAGAAACACCATAACAAGCAACCAAATAAATCCGCGTGACTGCTGTAAATTATACATATCAGTGAGAGAGAGAGAGAGAGAGAGAGATCGACAAACAAAAAAGCGCACTGAAACTGAATTTCCTATCAATTTGTTGGACTTTTTTTTGTTATCGTGTTTGTGTACAGTTTTCGGTGTTTTTATTTTCCGGCCCCGTCTGATTGTATCATAAATAAAACCGCCTAAACACAGAAGACACCGAGCAACATTCATAAATATACGGAACGATAAATAAGAAGCGAACGACAAACTCTCTTGCGTCGCGCGAATACTTCAAAGCGAATGAGTCGCGTATTGCATACGCACTTGAAGAGCATTTGTTTAAAAAAAAGAAAAGCGACAAGACAAGAAAAAAAAACAAAGTGAAGTGAATTTTTGAGTAGTAAAATAAGGCGAACGAAGAAAAAAACGGCGATGGTCCCATGTTATTATGGTTGCATTGGGGCCATCTTGACATTAGCCGTTTTAATGTCAATACAATGCATTTACGCATCCCCGACATCGAGCAATGGAATTAATTCAAACGGTAAGTTTTTTTTTTCTTCTCTATTTCAGTTTAGTTTTTTGTCCTCTTTCCCACACTGTCATTTAAAACGATTCGACTTTTTTTTATTGTGCCCATTCCATTTGAAGTGTATTAAATTGAATGAGCATTGAGCATTGAGCATTTATCTCGATCTTCTTTTTTTTCCTCTATTAAATACGGAAGACAGTAGAAAAACGATACATTTCCATAAAACCAAGTGAACACATTAATTAATTTTAATTGATGTTGTTAAGTTTAGTCAATTAACACGCATTTTTATTAAGTCCAGTGTATAGTTATGATGTAAACGTTGTTGTCGCCCGAGCACCGACAATTCATTGTAGCGGCTTAAATGTTTCACACGTTCTTGGAATTATGCAAACTTTTCGCTTAATCCGGCCAAACCGTTCATTTCCACTTTGAAACTCGTTCACGAACAGTCATCGTTTTTATGATAATTTGTGGGTGCTGTTGATGTGGCGACGACGACGTTGACTGTCGACCGTACTAAAAGGGGGAATTTCATCGCTTCAAATTCATTGATACCCAGAGATGAAATACGTCAAGTGAAGCGCGGAAAAAAGTTTTAACGCTACAAAAGAATTAATTCAATTTAAATGTCTCTTTGATATTTTACAATTTACATAAATTTTACACTCATTCTGAGAATCAGCAGTAGCAGCAGCATTTTCTGCCAGAGGCTGATGTGAGAGATGAACAAACACAAGAAAAAACGTCATTTCAATTGAATTGCAACCAAACAAAATACAACGAAAAAAAGAATGTCTGTGCCTGAATGCGACCACATTTGTGTCATGCCCTTAATATCATATCAATATTATGATAAGTGCCGTTTGTATCATTCCGCCAAACACCAAACTGAAACATCGACATATTGAGAGCACCGCACAGTTGAGCTCCACTTTGGGCGACACTTTGACTAATTGAAATAAATGCATATATCGATATAAACTGCAAATGACAGATTATTTTTGAAAAGACAAGCCGCGGCTGCAACAGAATGCCTCATTATATACATACTAAATTAAATCAAATGGAAAACAGCCAAAAGGATAAACCATTTCGGTTGCATGTCAATTTGAATTTCGTAATTTACAATTATCACAGAGACCAATAAAAAAAAAAAATCCGAGAGAAAGGGTGTATGTGTATCGTGACAAAGGCCATAAACGTTTATTTTCGCTTTTTTTTTCATTTCGTGGATGCGGTGAATTGGTGGCGATTGGAAAATATTTGTGGCAAACAGTAATCGATGTCATGTCGATAAATATTAGCGAATTAAATTATGGGATGCATGGACGCTCAATGAAGCAGTCTCTCTCTCTCTCTCCCTCGCTCGCTCGCTCTCTGTGTGTCTGTGGTCACGGTCAACATATTTTAAATAAACACATTAAAATGCAGTGTCATTGTTTGCACGAAATTCTCTCTCTATCTCTTTCTCTTTCCATGAAACAAAATACCATTATAATTGGAAACGCTTTGGTTTTTGCACCGTGGTGTGTCGACAAACTTGCCATCAATTGAATTGTCAAAACCAACCGATAATCAATTTCGGTGCTTTAAACAAACATTCGGCAAACACACACCCATCCCACCGGGCAATAAAAACAAAAATGTTCATTCCATTCTTTCGACCAATTTAAAATATAGACTTTATAGATGTACCCATTGATATGCATCGAATCGACAGTTTTGGTTTGCAAATCCTACCGGTTGATGTGCACTCAAATGATAATTATTTCGGTTCACTAACGAATAAATGAATTTGATTAATCTCTATATCCACTCACTGGCTGCTACCACTGCTGTTGCCAGTGTTATCTCATTTGACTTCATTTTTGTTAAATTGAACACGAAGCTCGAGCAACAGAAATAAAAAAATTAAATCAAACGCATCAACAAGGGTTTATTGTAAACTAAAATTATTACATGAATCGTGGGCAATTCTCATTTTCAATTCTAATCAAAATTTAACGTCATAAATTAAGTTGTTTGGTGTAAAATTTCCATAATCAAAATTGTATTTTGATCAGTTTCGCAAATAATGAACGAGATTTATGAGTTTTCGAGCCGTCGAAACAAGATTAACTTCGATGTACGCATAAAATGTTGCACAGTTTTGATCCAATTTCAACTTCGACACAATGCTAACAAAAGACAATGAGCCGAACACGAAAGTAGACGAATGAGCGAGTGCGTAACCAAGTGAAGTGACTGGGTGAGAAAAATCCAAAAACATGATGTTATTCTGTAATGCTTTAATCCAAAAGTCGAAAACATACGATATACTACGAAATCCAATTGGAGTGTTGCTACAAATCTCATCAAAGCCACCTGCTGAAAGCAGTGCGGTTGTTTTAACACACCGAAATTCCCGCATGTCTCATTTATAGTGTCATCATCACCATATGCAAACTATTTTAGTTCAGTGTTTGATGCGACCGAAATTTGCAACGCAACACAAAAACACACCGCTTCTCGTTCGCTCGCGCCTTTCCACACCATTCGTTCGCGCTTTTCAACTGGGTTTTCGTTTGTATATTGTTTCGTGTGTGCAAAACTTTGTGTATTATTGCCAAAATGTGAAAATAATGGAATTCGACGAAACATTTTCGAATTTTCGTGTTTGACAATTCCACACACACACCGAGACACACACACAGTTCGATCGGATGACACGCATGCATTTGTTGTGTATGTTACACGCAGATGACATTATCATTTTCGTTTCGAAATTGTCGGCTATTGGAACAAGAGAGTGCGCGAAAAGGGGAGAGCGGGTGGACGGCCTTTCAACCGAAGATATTTCAAAATTTGCGACATTTGGAAATGAACATTTTAATTTTATCACGAAGCTAAAATCAGTGAATCTAAAAGCGCTTTATCCCAATGCCTGGCTGTACGTGCGCACATAAATTATGTATTTTCGGTTAAATGACATCCAATATCATGGGATGCGAGTTTTGGTTTTATACTACTGCCACTGCTGCTGCTGCTGTTGTTGTCTGTTGTTCGGTTTCTGTCTCTCTGTCCGGTGTGTTTCAAAGGGATGAACTACTGTTGCTGCTACTCTCTGTGGCTCCGTGTACTACACTTCACTTCACCCATTCACGTTTGCATTTTGTGTGTTGTTTAATGATTGCAAACATATGTAGACACGCGTACCAATTTGCACACAGTGTCAATGCGTTTTGGTGCTATAATACCAATGATACAGTCCCTCTCTTTGTTTGTCTGTGGTATGTTCTGCTGTTGCCACATAATTTCTTTATCTCGTTGTTATTTCCACATGTAAAACTGGCTTCCATTCTCATTTTGAGCATCAGATTATGATACATGTATGTGTGTGTGTGTGTGTGTGTGTGTGTGTGTGTGTGTGTGTGTGTGT